ACCCAGGTACATGCCCTTGAACAGGAATCAAACCTGTGACCCTTTAGTCCACAGGCTGACAATCTAACTAATGAGCCAAACTGGCCAGGGCAATGGGCTTTTTTTGAATTGGCAACCAGGGAAAGATACTTATTTCAAAATGAACAAGTATGGAGAAACTGGATCATCATCTTGACAGGTGGTCAAAATTACTATCCCCAACAAAGGGCAGATAGGTGGACTCTGTATGCCTGTGCCTGCCTACAGATGTGATATGCTAGGTACACAATTGTGTACACGTACCAGAATAAAATCATGAGGAAACACCAGGCAAACCCAAAATGAGGAATGAAGAAAATTCTGTTAGACAAAGTTAGCAAAATTGTCAGTTTCACAAAAAGACAAAGAAAGACTGAAGAAGCCTTGGCTAGTTAGTCTTAGCAGTTAGAGGGTCAGCCCAAGGACAGAAGGATCATGGGTTTGATTCCCAGTTAAGGGCACATACCTGCATGCCAGGTTCAAGCCCCAGAGTGGTCCGGGTCATTCAGGAAGCAACCAATGTGTCAATCTCGAAATGATGTTTCTCTCTCTCCTTCTGTCTCCCTCCCTCCCTCCCTTCCACCCTATCTAAAAAATCAATAGAAAAATATCCTCAGGTGAGGATTTACAAAAAAAAACTAAAGAACTTGAAGAATTGTTCTAGATCAAAGGAGACTTAAGTAAAGTACATGATTCTAGAGAGGATCCTAGACAGGAAAGGAAAAAGAATAGGACAATGTTAGATCAAAGGACAAAAATGAAACATGGTTGGTAGATTAAATTGTTGAATTAAGGTTATATTTTCTGAGCTAAACTATGATTGTGTAAGAGGATGTACTTATTCTTAGGAAATACACACTAAGTATTTATGGTAAAGGGCATGCTATAAGAAACTTACTTTCAAATGGCTCACAAAAAAAAAAAAGTGAGCAAGCAAATGGATGAAATGATAACAACTAACAAGAAGTGATCCGGTCAAAAGGTATATGAGTATTCTTTGTCCAGTTCTTGCAACATTTTTGTACATTTGAAACCCAATTCCCCCATACCACTAAAGAGCAAGGACAACAAACAACATTCAGATTATTTCATTCCTGCACTTATCTGATGAACTGTTCTAGATGCTGTATTTGATCCTGTGCCAAAGTCTAATCCGTAAGCTTTCAATTGGGAGGGAAAGAAATCACTTCGATTACCTAACATTTATTAAAATTTTCATGAAAACCAATACACTGGGCCAGCCTTCAGGACACTTCTGTCAGACAATCTAAGGCAGGCCAGGCTTTTTTCTATTCACAAAATGATCTAGGAGCCTAAAAGATACCATCTTACTGAAGCTATGTAATTGGGACAATCACCACTGGACTTTTTCCATGTAGGAAGACCAAATTAGCCTGTGGCTCTATGCAAGGATCTCATTTCTCAGGCAGCTTGGAATCAAGGGGACTGGCATTCTGACAAACCATCAAAGCCACAGTCGTGGAAATGATGATAGCTTGAACTTTAACTGCACTCCTTATGGCTTCAAATCTGCCCACAGAAATGGAAGCAAGTATGTTACCCTACATCTACACTAACTTCTTCAATTCTTGATATCCAGTAGTATTGATTGCACCTAAACAAATTCTTACACACTCTAGAAAAAGCTTCCTTTTGAAATGACCTGGGTTGCCCTGGCTGGTTTGGCTCCGAGGTTAGAGCGTTGGCCTGAGGTCCAGAGAGACCCGGGTTCGGTTCCCACTAAAGGCATGTACCTTGATTGCAGTTTGTCCCCGGCCCTGGTTGGGTTGTGCGGGTGGCAGCCACTCGATGTGTCCCTTTCACGTCGATGTTTCTCTCTCTCTCTCCCCCCCCTCCCACCCTATCTGAACAAAATATAGAAAAAAGTCCTCGGGTGAGGATTAAAAAAAATAATAATAAAATAAAATAAAATAAAATATAAAATAAAATAAAATGACCTGGGTTGTTCCTAAGTATCTGAAGTTGTTTTTAAAAACCTAAGTAGGTATCTGTGAGCTTCTATGTATACACAAAAGACACTCTTCACTCTCAGCCTGACAGAGCCATCCAAACCAGAAAATTGCTGACTCACATGCAAGGTCAGTTGCCAAGTTTCCCCTAACAAACTCTTAAGTCTGAGAAAATTTTAATAACAAGTCTGAGCTATAAATTCAGATATACAACCTATCAATTTCTGAAACTTAAGTCTTCTTTGAAAGATGTGACACAATGAGCCCTCGCTGGTATGGTTTAGTTGGTTGGGCATTCTCCTGTGCACCGAAGGGTTGCAACCGATTCCCAATCAATTCCTGGGGTTGGAGCACATGCCAAGGTTTGCGGGCTCAATCCCTGGTAGGAGCATGCAGTCAATATGCTGCTTCTGCATCGCTTTTTCTCTTCCTCCCTCTCCCTTCCTTTATCTCTTAAAATATAACAATGAAAAAATCTTGGGGGGGGAAAAAAAGGACAATGAGAAATTAAAAGTAACAAGTAGTCCTGGCAAAGGCTCAAACTAGGAAGTTGACTCAGCTTCTACAGAGGCTGAGTATAAAGATTTTCTCTTGGTCAGGATCTTTATTTTTAACCTCTTGTTTACTTAGATAAGGTTATTTATTTGGCTAAATTAGCTCCTCTTCAAAATATTCACAAGCTTGTAGGTATAAAAGACAATCCACTTATTGTGACTTCAATTTCAAGCTAAAAAATCTATAAAAAATTATAAACATACATACAGTATTATATTTTTAATTATTAGAACTTAAGATAGTTTGCCAAACCCACTATTAATCAAAATTTTCTAGGGAGCTTTCCCAAAATGCAAATTTCCTAAGCCTCACACAAGTAATATTGAATCAAAATCTGGATGAATAAGGTCTTCTGATTCTGATCATCAGGCAGATTGTAAATTGCTGGTTCATGACACCATCCGCCATAACATCACTGTAATAATAACCTCAGATGACAAAGATGGTTTGCTTTTTGTTTTGTTTTTAAATCCTCACCCGAGATATTTTTCATTTTATCTTCAGATAAAGTGGGAGGGAAAAAGAGAAACATGATGTGAGAGAGAGACATCAATTGGTTGCCTACTTGCATGACCACATGACCCTGACCAGGGCTGGGGACCAAACAGAAACCGAGGTACATGCCCTTGACCAGAATTTAATCACAACTCTTAGAGTCTAAAGGCCAAACATTCTAACCACTGAGCAAAACTGGCCAGGGCTTGCTTTTTGTTTTGAAATAGATAATAATTCAAAGTCCAAAACATACAAGATGACCAGCCTTTCTCCTCCTCCCGTCCCCTGGCCACCCATTTACTCTTCCTGGGAAACTAACACTACCAGTTGCTTATCTGTCCTCCCAGATTCTTTATGCTTACAAAGGCACTATAAATATCTCCTTTAAGAAAAGATAGCAGTGCCCTGGCCAATTTGGCTCAGCAGTCAGAGTGTCAGCCCCGGACCAAAGTGTGGTGGATTCAATTATGGTCAAGGGCACGTACCTCAGTTGCAGTTCAGTCCCCAGCCCTGGGGATCAAGCAGGAGGCAACCAATCAATGTGTCTCTCTCACATCAATGTTTCTCTCTCTCTCTCCCTCCCTCCCTCCCTCCCTCCCACTCTATCTGAAGATAAATGAAAAAATATCTTCGGGTGAGGATTTAAAAAAAAAAACAAGGAAAGGAAGAGATAACAGCAAATAATATGTGAACAAACAAGATGCAGAACAATGTGTCATCTTGGAAATCTTTCCCAAGCAATACATAAAGCTTCCTTATTCTATTTTAACCTGCATAGTATACTATATAAAGAATCCTACTTTGCAGAAATTCATTTATCGCAGTAGAGTCTGGAACTGATTAACCGCGTTAAACAAGGGCCGACTGTATGCCACTTTGTGGCTCTATCATACTTGATAAATCAGTTCCCTTTCATTGGATTTCTGTTATTTCCAATCTTTTGCTGCAGTGCATAATCATATGCACATGTCATCTTGTACATGTGCAAGTGTATTTGTAGGATACAATTCTAGACATGGAAATGAAGGTAATTCTGATATTGCCAAATTGCCCTACTCAGAAGTTATAACAATTTTCACTTCCACTTGCAACTTGAAACGAGTTTATATTTTACAAAGTTGAATATGAATAGCACCAATGGCTAACTTTCTAGATGTTTTCCTGAAAAGACAATATCTTTATAGCCCAGTGATATAACAAATGATGCTTTGGCCCTGGCCGGTTTGGCTCAGCGGTTAGAGCGTCAGCCTGCGGTCCTGAGAGACCTGGGTTCGGTTCCCGCTAAGGGCACGTACCTTGGTTGCAGTTTGTCCCCGGCCCTGGTAGGTCGTGCAGGTGGCAGCCACTCGGTGTGTTCCTTTCACGTCGATGTTTCTCTCTCTCTCTCTGTTCCTCTCTCTCCCTCCCACTCTACCTGAACAAAAAATGGAAAAATATCCTCGGGTGAGGACAAAAACAAACAAACAAACAAAAAACAAATGATGCTTTGAAAAAAATTCTGTACCGTGGAAATCTGAATAATTTGACCACTGCTATTAGAAAGATTTCTGACTATTTGAGACCCAAGAAAAAGAGGAGCTAGGAGAAAAGAGAAGCTGAGGTTAAGGCAATCCTTGCTATTCTTAGCTGACATGCACTCATTGTGAAGTCTTCTTCCCTACTTCAGCATAAAATGCTTAAAATTTTCCACTTACTACACAAAGCATTATTCATGTGAAAAATTAACCAACTGTGCTGTTTATTATTTTAATCAACAAAACTTCTACAAGTGTTATTACCAAAATCTTACACAAGAGAAATTTACTAAATAAAGGCAGGATGCCCAAAGACCCACTCTAAAGCTAAGGAGAAAGACTGTCATGCAGAGGCATGCTAAAGAGAGAATAAGCTAGAGAAACAAAGCTGAAATCGTTAATCTCCTTTGTAATACACAAATACAGAAGGGAGAAAAAAAAGAACACATTTTTAACTAAAAGAACTGACAATTTTATTTTCACATTTCACAATACAAATGAAAATTGCTTTTTTGTTTTGTCCCACAACTCCCCTCCCAAACTATTCTCTCAAATAGGAAGAGGGAGTGAGTCTTCCTTGTCATACTGTTAGAAAACACCCAGAGTCACAGCACCACGATCTCCTGGTGAAGTAGAACAAGTAAAATAAAATTGATAGAAAGAGGTTCCCCTCTCTCCTTATCTGTCTGGTCGAGTCATTCCTGGCCGAGTGGGCACCATCATGGGACGGGCGGGAGGTCTCATCATTGGGGGCCCAGGCATCATTGGCATGTGCCCTCCCATAGGTGGCCTCATTCCAGGAGCTGCATGACAAAACAAAGAAAAGGAAAAAAGATCAGAAAATACTACTTATGAGAGAGTTTGACGGAACTTCAATTAAAGACAAAAAAGTAGCCCCCTGCAAAATGCTCCAAAAAAATACTTGACAGAAGAATGCAACACATTTATCACATCATTAAAATATTTAGACATTCTCAAACAAAAAACAAAAAGTCAACCCAAAAACCATATGGAAATCATAACCTAATGATAGCAAGGGGAAAACTATTTATATACGACTTTCCAGAAACCACCAGGAACATGAGTTTCCCCTAAACTGACCTTTCTTCTTACTCAGGAAAATTCACAACTAAGTCACATGTTATTCAGTCAGCTCTTATATTTATTTATTTATTTATTTATTTATTTATTTATTTATTTATTTTAAATATTTTTTCTTTATTGATTTCAGAGGGAGAGGAAGGGAGAGGGAAAGAGATAGAACCATCGATGAGAGAGAACATCGACTGGCCGCCTCCTGCATGCCCCCCACTGGGGATCGGGTCGACAATCTGGGCATGTGCCCTAATTGGGAATCAAACTGGCTACCTCTTGGTGCATGGGTCGACGCTCAACCGCTGAGCCACACCAACCGGGCTCAGTCAACTCTTTTAATCAGTCCTATCTATCATATAACCAGGAGCTATTTCACGGGTGTACACAGGTACAGAGGACAATCTTATCACCAAGCGTTTGTTTGGAGTTGTAGGAAAGGTGAGCAGGAGGCCCATGCTGAGAACTTGTTAGTAACCATACTTAGCTCAAGTCAAGAAAAATAACAGGCAATAATGTGATTTATAACAATTAGTACACACACAAAAATCTGATTTTTCTTATACAGTTTAGAAACTATTAATGAATTTTTTTTCCTTTATTGATTTTTAGAGAGAGAGGGAGGGAGAGGAAGAGAGAGATAGAAACATCGATGAGAGAGAACATCAATTGGCTGCCTTCTGCATGCCCCCTACCTGGGCATGTGTCCTGAGCGGCTTTTGAACTGGCAACCTCTCGGTGCATGGGTTGATGCTCAAACACTAAGCCACACCGTCCCGGCTAATGAATTTTTTTAAGTGTTCAATCAATATACCAACAAATAAATAAGCCAGGGAAGGAAATGCAAGCAGAGAAGTGGAGGGTGTAAAGAAATACAGGCAACTTCATGGAACTGATAATGTTCTACATCTTCTGCTGGTTGGTGGGTTCACAGGAATTCATTTTATTATTAAGCCTCATAATTTTCATGCTATAATCTCCTTTTCAAATATCAAAATTTACTTATTTTTAACTAAATCATTTTAATTAAAGACTTGCTATAAATGGTTCAAGAGAAAACTATATTCAAAGCTAAAGACAGCCTTACACAAAAAGTATAAAACAATATATGCAAAGGCACAAAACCTAACGGGTACAGAATTTTTTCTTTTTTTTAATCCTCACCTGAGGATATTTTCTATTTATCTTCAGATAGAGTGGGAGGGAGGAAGAGAGAGGTAGAGAGAGAGAAAAACATCGACATGAGAGGGACACATTGACTGCTTGCCTCCCACACAACCCCGACCAGGGCCTGGGACGAACCACAACGGAGGTACATGCCACTGACCAGAATCAAACCCACGACTTCTTTGGTCTGCAAGCCAACACTCTAACCGCTGAGCCAAATCAGCCAGGGCCAGAATTTGTTTAAAGACTAATTTCAATAGCAAATAGTGAATACTACTAAACTACTAAATACCTTATTTTTTAAAAAACCCACCGTAACATAACCAGTATTCAACATTTCTTAGAAAAAACTGATCTAGACCAAAGACTGAAAATAAGGCACCTGAAAACTTCTTTTCTTTGGTCTCCATAGTACATTTAATTTTAATTAGTTGCCAACAACAGCAATTCCTAGGTCTAACCCCTGATAAGTTAAGTCTAGAATCCTTTTTCAACTTATTATAGAAATGTCCAAACACAAAAGAATAAAAGAAAAGAAAAAAGAGTATAATGAACATCCATATACCCATCATCCAGCATCAACAATGATTTGCCCATGGCCAATTTATCTTATCCTCACCAATTTTATCCATGCCCACCTCCAACTACTCAATTATTTTAATGCAAATCCCATAATGTATTATTTTATCCTGGCTAAAACTAATAACAACAATAAAATACTCAGAACAGGCAATACCAATTTGCACTCTCAAATGTCAACCACAGGCTGAAGCTGGGATCTAGAAACCTTCTTCAGATGAGTTATACATTCCTATTTCACCACAACCAACTCCTCTAGAAATCGGAACTTGTGACTGACTTAAGAATGCAAAAGAAGTCATCTAAGGCACTTTGATTATGTTTTGGGTTCAAAGTCACCAAGGCAGGAATTCTTTTTATTCATACTCTCCCATCACTCTAAATGATACCCACAGTAAGCATTGTGAATGCTTCTGGCTAGGAAGCTACTCTAATACCTTTGTACCTTGCCTTACCAGTTGAATTGTAGGCTTCTTCCATCAGCTGTATTTACTCTAACTACATAATTTAACTATTCTGCAAATCAATAAAAGAAGAATTGTTTCTATGAAAACTAAGTTGATATTCAGGCAAAATATACCCCAAAAGTGCTCACATATTTGGTAGGTGAAATATTTGTAAAAAACTGGAACTAGATTGCCTCACAAGGTCTCTAACCACTTCATATTAAATGAAACTAAAGTTAGTAAAGGATGCATTATGGGTATGGCTTATTGATTTATGCAATAAATATATAGTGTTCCAATCAGTAGACTTGTTCTCAAAGACCCTTACCATGTATCAGAAAAATTTCCAAATTAATGTACATTTATGTTTATGTTAAAATAAAATGTTTGAGTTGTAAGTTTTTTTTCCCTTCCTGAACAAAAGACTAATCACCAGGCCTAAGGCATTTTTTATACACTAATTTGGCCTAACTAACTTCCAAGATTAAAAATCAGCAACAGGAGGTAACTGTGCTCCAAATCAAAACCAAGAAATATAGCCCTACAAGTATGTATCTACCCCTCCCTTTATACCCCAGTGGAACAAGCTCATTTACTTTTCTCTTCATTACAAATGGTCAAAGTCAGAAGGACACAAGGAAATGGGAAAGAGAGAAGAAGAGAAAAGAGGCAGCTTTATCCTGTTTTTAGTAGCACAATGTCTTTGGATAGTACCTAATTATGCTGATAAACCAAATATTTATTTTTCTTTATTATTACACATTCACCAAATTTAATTTGTTGCAATAATATATTTAGACGGCTAAATAAGTATTCCATTTAAATAGAGAGCTAAAACACAACGGAGCACTCTAAAAGAAGATTCAAACTCACCAGGTCCCACTGGCATCATCCCAGGAGGAGGAGGACCCATCATTGGCATCATGGGAGGGCCCCCCATATGGGGTGCTGGCATCATACCAGGGCGAGGAGGACCCGCTAAAATAAAGCATGGGACCTGAGGTTAAGACATGCTTATATATTAACAGTTTATCTTTTTTTTTTCCCCAAAGGCATACACATATTTTAAATTGATGTTAATATTTTCTTTTTTTTTAATTACTTTTATTAATCTGTTTTTGTTACAGATGTTTCTCCTTTTTCCCCTATTGACACTCTCCTCCCCAACCCCTCCGCCCCATCCCCAGCTTTCTTGTCTATGTCCATTGGTTATGCATACATGCATGTAAGTTCTGTGGTTTATCTCTCCCCCCCAACACCCCCTCTTCTGAGGTTTTTAAGTCTGTACCCTACCTCTACGTCCCTGGGTCAATTTTGTTCATCAGTTTGTTTAGTTCACTATATTCCACAAATAAGTGAGATCATGGGATATTTGTCTTTCTCTGCTTGGCTTGTTTCGCTTAGCATAATACTCTCCAGGTCCCTTCATGTCATCTCAAAGGTCAAGAGATCTTTCTTTCTTATAGCTGCATAGTACTCCATTGTGTATATGTACCACAACTTTTTTATCCACTCATCTATTGATAGACATTTGGGCTGTTTCCAGATCTTGGCTATTGTAAATAGTACTGCTATGAACATAGGGGTACATATATTCTTTCTGATTGGTGTTTCAGGCTTCTTAGGGTATATTCCTAGAAGTGGGATCACTGGGTCAAATGGCTGTTCAATTTTTAACTTTTTGAGGTAACACCATAGTGTTTTCCATAGTGGCTGCACCAGTATGCATTTCCACCAGTAGTGTACTTCTTTTTTTAAAAATATTTTTTCTTTATTGATTTTAGAGAGAGGGAGAGATAGAAACATCAATGAAAGAGAACAATGATCGGCTGCCTTGTTCTCTTTCATCGATGTTTCTATCTCTCTCTCCCTCTCCCTTCCTCTCCCTCTAAAATCAATAAAAAAATAAAGAAAATTTTTTTAAAAAGAAAGAGAATAGTGAGGTTAATTATGGCACATTTATACCATAGACTATTCTACTAGTAAAATAACACAGTTAAGCCCTGGCCAGTTTGGCCCGGTGGTTAGAGCTTTGGCCTGCGGTCCAGAGAGACCCAGGTTCGGTTCCTGCTAAGGGCATGTACCTCGGTTGCAGTTTGTCCCCGGCCCTGGTTGGGTCGTGCGGGTGGCGGCCACTCAATGTGTCCCTTTCACATCGATGTTTCTCTCTCTTCCTCTCTCTCCCTCCCACTCTATCTGAACAAAAAATGGAAAAATGTCCTCTAGTGAGGATTAAAAAGAATAATAATAATAATAATGCAGTTAAGTGCCAGCCTATCAGGATAGAGGAGACAGAGGTGACCTAAGAGCTGCCATGACCTGAGACCTGGCCAGGTCCCAGGATGGTGGAAGCCCACAAAGGGTTTGATGAGCTATTAGTCGTCCACCTGCATGCAACTATTATAAACAGCCTCCTTATTTCTATGTGTTGACATTTGTCATCACTTACAGGACTGAGTTTAGGTCTCTGAGTTCAATTTCAATCCAAAACCTTCTAGAAGAGCCAAAGAACTTAGTTATTCAATCTCCTCCTATTTGTCATGCAGAAACAACAAACTTTCCCAAAGAGGAGAGGCCTCTGATCCATTTCACTTTCAACTATACAATTCTTGTCTTTCACAAGGTATGTATCGGTGTTAGGTGGGTTAGAAAATAGAAAGACAGAGAAGTTTATCAGCTACTTCAATCCTCCAGTGTTGTATTAATAGCAGTAAGTTTAACATACTCAGCAGTACGTCTTCATATATTAGCTTATCTAATCACACGTATATTCTGAGCTTTCTATTGAATCTGTCTTGCCTCCACATGGGATGCCACAAATACATTATCCTAGTAATAGTACAATCAGAAGGTAAAGATATTTCAGAAATTATACCATTAAAGTTGTTTTTTGTGCCCTGGCTGGTTTGGCTCAGCAGTTAGAGCGTCGGCCTGCGGTCCAAAGAGACCTAGGTTTGGTTCCTGCTAAGGGCATGTACCTCAGTTGCAGTTTGTCCCCAACCCTGGTTGGTCGTGTGGGTGGCAGCCGCTCGATATGTACCTTTCACATCGATATTTCTCTCTCTCTCTCTCTCCCTCCCACTCTGTCTGAACAAAAAAAAAGGAAAAATGTCGAGTGAGGATTAAAAAAAAAAAAAAAGTTGTTTTTGTTACTATGTATTCATTCAATGAGGATTTGAAAGCCCACTATGAGATAATCTATCTAACAAGATCAAAGTACAATCTGCCCAGTTACACCCCTTAACATAAAAACCATAAACTTACGAAGACTGGGGGGAGGTGGGATCATTGCCCCTGCAGGAGGAGGAGCAGAGAATGGAGTAGGAGGTATCTTTCCTTGCTGAAAAGCTGCGGCTATAAAGAAAGTGAGAAAAAAACAACACATGGTGAATAAGAATTCAACAACCCATTTACTTAAATAACTACTTTTAAAAAAAATCATTAACAGTTCCAATTATTTCATTCTAAAAAGCAATTATCTAAAATGATTTGGCCTCTATGGTTTTAAAGTGTACTTCAGGTATATACCCATTAAAATTGCAATTAACTAGTTTACTGATTTTGGATTTTTTTTCTGTATTTTTTATTGATTTTTTAGAGAAAGAAGGAGAGGGAGAGAGACACTGATGAGATCAACAGTGACTGGCTGCCTCCTGCATGCCCCCTATTGGTGATTGAGCCCACAATCCAGGCATGTGCCCTGACTGGGAATAGAACCCAAACACTCATTGCAAAGAACAGCACTCAACTGAGCCACAATGGCTGGGCCTGATTTGGGTTTTTTGTTTAACTGCTTTTATTTAGTCAGCATTTCTATGGCTGAATTAACTATGAAAGACTGGAGTGAAAACATCCTACCTATTAATGTCTTACCAAAGAGAAGTAGTCATCTTTAATCTGTAGATGCATTTTATAATGAATTCAAGCCATTCAGTTTTGTTTGAAAATGTGTGATACCTGTTTAAAAACCAGGCATTATAAACTTCAATCCTTCCTATATATGCTGTCCTGGGTCAAAACAATATACCACTTGGTTTACCAGTTTTTTGTTGTTGTTGTTGTTTTTTATCCTCACCCGAGGACATTTTTTCATTTTGTGTTCAGATAGAGCGGGAGGGGGAGAGAGAGAGAGAAACATCGACGTGAAAGGGACACATTGAGTGGCTGCCACCTGCACGACCCAATCAGGGCCGGGGACAAACTGCAACCGAGGTACATGCCCTTAGCCGAAACTGAACCCGGGTCCCTCTGGACTGCAGGCTAACACTCTAACCTCTGAGCCAAACCGGCCAGGGCTGGTTTACCAGTTTTCAAACGAATGTACTGAGCTAAAAGACATGAAAGAAACAAAGATATTTCAAAGCAAGAGCCTACACCAAAGGATATTATGATCTTAAAAAATGTCTGCCCTGGCCAGTGTTGCTCAGTGGTTAGAGTGCTGACCTGCGCACAGGTTACAGGTCTGATTCCTGGTCAAGGGTAAGTTTGATACCTGGCCCCAGTTGGGGCCATGCAAGAGACAAAATGTCGATGTGTCTCTCTCTCATCAATGTTTCCCCCCCACACCCACTCTCTCTAAAAATAAATGGGGGGCATCGACCCATGCACCAAGAGGTTGTCAGTCTGATTCCCAGTCAGGACACATGCCCAGGTTGTGGCCCCAATCCCCAGTGGGGAGCATGCAGGAGGCAGCCAATCAATGTTCTCTCATCAATGTGTCTATCTCTCTCTCCCTCTCACTTCCTCTCTCTAAAACCAATAAAAGAATAAAAAATTAAAAATATAAAAATAGCCCTGGCCGGCCCTGGCCGGTTTGGCTCAGCGGTTAGAGCGTCGGCCTGCGGTCCCGAGAGACCCGGGTTCGGTTCCCGCTAAGGGCATGTACCTTGGTTGCAGTTTCTCCCCGGCCCTAGTTGGTTGTGCGGGTGGCAGCCACTCGATGTGTCCCTTTCACATCGATGTTTCCCTCTCTCTCTCTTCCTCTCTCTCCCTCCCTCTCTATCTGAACAAAAAAATGTCCTCAGGTGAGGATAAAAAAAAAAAAAAAAAAAATAGCCCTGGCCGGTTTGGCTCAGCGGTTAGAGCGTCGGCCTGCGGTCCAGAGGGACCAGGTTCGGTTCCCTTTAAGGGCACGTACCTCGGTTGTAGTTTGTCCCCAGCCCTGGTTGGGTCTTGTGGGTGGCAACCACTCAATGTGTCCCTTTCACGTCAATCTCTCTCTCTCTCTCTCCCCCTTCCACTCTATCTGAACAAAAAATGGAAAAATGTCCTCGGGCGAGGATAAAAATAAATAAGTAAATTAATTAATGGGAAAAAATATCCTCGAGGATTAACAAACAAAATGTCCAATACAATTAACTTTTAATTCCTGGCCCTGGCCAGTTTGCCTCAGCAAACTGTCGGCCCTTAGACTGAAGGGTCTGAGGTTTGATCTGGTCGATGGCACGTACCTGGGTTGCAGGTTTGATCCCCAGCCCAGGCTGGGGTCATGCTGGAGGCAGCCAATGGATGTTTCTCTCTCTCTCCCTTACTCCCTCCCTTCCACTCTATTTAGAAGTTCATGGAAAAATATCCTCAGGTGAGGATTAACAACAACAACAACAATAACAAGTCTATTCCTGAATATAAGTTCTACCCAATTCAGTGCAGTCCAAAGCCTAGGCACCCTCTCCCCATCCTACTCCACCCCTACCAGTGCAGAGACGGTCAAATTACTCAAGCAAATCACTCATAATTCATGAGGACCAGAAAACTGACCTAGAGTGGCTATTTATGAACAGCTATTCATTTGTCCTTCAATTGAGCCTGTGCTCTATAAGGCATCATATCCCAATAAAGCACCTCCCATGCCCTGAGTAAAAGGATAGCTTATAAAGATGGAGGAGGAAGTGACTAGGCCACTGGCTCAATAGCCGACCAACTCCATATCAACATAATCATGGACACCATGAATTTACTTTCCTAAATTCTTTTGTTGTCTACAAAAAAATACCAAAATGTTAACCTTTAATGCCAAGAAAATGTCTACCTTTTAAAACAGAAGAAAAAAGACATTATAATTTATTTTTTCAAATAAAAATGGGACAAAGTCTGAGATTTGTTCCTTAATAATTTAGGAAGGATAGAGGAAGTAGATGAAGGTATTTGGTGGCTCTCAACCAGGGCAATTTTGCTTCCTTGGGGACACTGAACAATGCTTGGAGACACTTTTAGTTGTCACAACTGGGAACTGTTACTAGTGGATAGATGCCAGAGCTGTTGCTAAACATCCCACAATGCACAGGACAGCTCCCACAACAAAGAATTATGCAACCCCAATGGCAATAGTGCTAAGTTTGAGAACCTTGGAATAAATAAAACAAGACTGTTTTAGCTAAGTGCTGGGAAATGGGAATGGGAATTGGGGGTTGGTGTGAGAGCAGTGGCCATGGGAGGTTCACTCATTAAACTTGTCCTTCTACCATGAAAATTTTCCATAATAGATTTTGCATTTAAAAAAAAAACAGCCCTGGTCAGTTTTGCTCAGTGGTTAGAACTTCAGGCCACAGACTAGAGAACCCAGGTTCAGTTCCTGCTAAGGGCATGTACCTTGGTTGCAGTTTGTCCCTGGCCCTGGCTGGGATCATGTGGTGGCAACCACTCGATATGTCTCTCTCGCATCGATGTTTCTCTCTCTCTCACTTCCTCCTTCTCTCCCTCCCACTCTATCTGAAAATAAATGCAAAAAAAAAGAGTCTCCTCGGGTGAGGATAAAAAAATCAACCACAATCCAAGTCCACATTTGCCTGTTGGCTCTAAGTACAATGAATAATTAAGATAGGCCATGTTTCAAACAGACCAGGATGATCTAAGGTAGAAATGCACTACCTCCTTCTGTCCGTGTCTTGGACCCAACTAGCCTAAACAACAACAATGTCCCTAATTAAAGAAAAAGATTATGGCATGTACAACAGGGATCCTAAATATACCCAGATTATTTTGTCACATCAATTACTTCCTTTCTGACTAGTTATCTTCGTCAGTACTACAAAGAATAAGAAACTCAAAGTCTCTCAAACTCTTTGAAAAAAACTACAAACCCACCTCCTACCTTTTCCTATTATTAAAGGAAAACAGTTCTAAAAACTATAGATTACTACAAAGGAGGTTTTATATAAATTTGCTACAAAATCTGGTCCACACCAAAAAAAGAGATATTAGGCAACTCATTCCTCTCTGCCCCACTTCCCAATCTAATATCTGATTGCTCCAACCTCAATAATTAATATTAACGCATTCCTATATCCCTGGGAAGCCAATGACCTTCCACTTCTTTCATTCAATACATCAGAATGCTCCTATTTGACATTCAGAATGAGCTGCTTCTGTGAAAAACAACAGAGAGATAGGGACGAGAAAGAATGGGACCATTCTACCACATCAGAACAAGAGACTGAAACATACTTGTTTTGTCAATCAGGCTCTGAGCCTGCTCTTCCATCCATTTCTGATAGTAGTCTTTCACATTCTCTTTGTGTTTCCTACCACTGCAGTGTGTCTTTCTCACAGATGGCTGTAAAAGAAAAAGGTCACATCAGTTACAGAAACAAATTTCCAAAACTAGAAATGTTATAAAGTCTTACCTTTATATAAAGGTGGCCTGGCTACCTTTAGCAACTTTAGTAGCTAATGCAGCACTCATAAACACTATCCAACAATGTACTATGGTAATTTATCTACTATGTTTATTATCTAAACCAGGGGTCAGCAAACTAAGTGACCTATGGGCCAGCCATCTGATTTTGTAGAAGTACTAGAACACAGCCACATTCATTTATGTATTGTCCATTTCTTCTCTGTACAACAGGAGTCAAGTAACTGCAATGAAGACCGTACTGTCCACAAACCTAAAATAACTATAATCTGGCTTTTAAAGAAAAAGTTTGCAACCCTGGCCAGTTTGCTCAATGGTTAGAGCACTGGCCTGCAGACTGAAGGGTCACAGGATCAATTCCAGTCAAGAGCACGTACCTGGGTTGCAGGTTCAATCCCAGGCCCCAGTTGGGCTCCTGTGGGAAGCAAACAATCAATGCATCTCTCCCCCTCCCTTCCTTCCATTCTATCTAAAAATCAATGGAAAAATATCCTCAGGTGAGGATTAAAAACAAAAAGTTTGCAAACCCCTGATCCACTTTAATGCCCTTTCATAGGTTATTCAATGGCAAAAAAAAAAAGCTTACGTATGTTTAAATAACACTGTTTGAAAATATATTCCTTTAAATGACTATAGGTCGAAAATAAAGATTCTATATGATCACATACAGATCCTTATCTCTAGCCCACTAATCCTTTTGTTCTTTCATTAAGTTTTATCAGGAGTAAAGTTGACATAATGTAAACTCCAGACATTTAACCTTTTGTTTTGTTTTTTAAGTTAATGGTTATTTAACATTTACTACATGCCAGACCCCATATGTTCTTTATAAGCTGTGTCTCAATTTTCATAATAATCACATATGCATGTTAAAAAAGTACTAATCAGAAAAAATGAATCACTGATACATGCAATATGGATGAATCTCAAAAACATGCTATGCAAAAGAAATCAGACACAGGCACAGTGTATATACTATAAGATTCCATTCATATGAAGTTTTCAAAGTAGTAACATTAATCTTTTGTAAAAACCAGATCAATCAGGGCCAGAGGTACAGGGGACTTACGGCAAAGAAACACAAGGGAACTTTCTCAGGTGATGGACATGTTCTATATCTTAATATATCCATCAAGTTGTAATCATTTGACAGGTCCTCAAACTGTAAACTTAAAAAGTTTGTATTTAGCCCTGGCCGGTTTGGCTCAGCGGTTAGAGCATGGGCCTGTGGTCCAGAGAGACCCAGGTTCAGTTCCCGCTAAGGGCATGTACCTCGGTTGCAGTTTGTCCCCAGCCCTGGTTGGGTCGTGTGGGTGGCAACCACTCGATGTGTCCCTTTCACGTCGATGTTTGTTTCTCTCTCTCTCTCTCTCTCTGCCCCCTTCCCATTCTATCTGAACAAAAAATGGAAAAAAATGTCCTCGGGTGAGGATTAAAAAAAAAAGTTTGCATTTAGCCTGGCCAGTGTGGCTCATGCACCAAGAGGTAACCAGTTCAATTCCCGGTCACGGCATATGCCCAGGTTTTGGACCAGACCCTAGTGGGGGGCATGCAGGAGGCAGCCAATTGATGTTCTCTCTCATAGATATTTCCCCCTTTTTCTCTCCCCCTCTACCTTCCTCTCTCTGGAGAAAAAAAAAAAAAGAAGTTTGCATTTACCATAAATTATAATTCAATAAAATTGATTTTTTTTAAATCACAAGGTTATTATCTTCCATTTATGCTTAAAAACTTATCTCAAAACATATAGCTGGTAAGTGGCAAGCCCAGGTCTGGAAACCAGATTTCATTGAGATGCTCCCCATGGCTGTCTAACCACCTCCTACTGCTATGTCCTCTTTTGAATTATTGCTTCACTGTCAGCAGATATGACCAATATCATGTGAGCAGTCCATGTTCAAAATATTGTTCCTGTCTCCCAAGCCACTGCTTACACTATGCTTACAACAATGATGCCTCAAGCCTAATAACAAAATCATGCCCAAGAACCAGTAAAAGTTCCAAAATTAAGCACTGAATTTTTATACATTTCAAAGTCTACCACAGGGAATTCCTTCAATCACCATGGAAATTTCATACTATTTTCCAAGCTATTTTGTTAGAACAACAGTATTACAAGGGTTCCTGAATTCTGGCATTAGCAAGATGAGTGGGTATATGAAAATACAGTGCTGAAAAACGGGGGACAGGCACAGCCCCCGCCGCTAACAATTTCAGAAAATTAAGACTCTCCAAATGACTTAGAAAAGGGGTTAGGGACAAAAACAAAACAAAACAAAAAGGTCCTGGCTGGTCTGGTTCAGTTGGTTGAGCATCATCCCATGCACCAAAAGCTCACTAGTTCTGATTCCTGATTAGGACACATGCCTGAGTTGTGGGCTCAATCCCTAGTGGAGGGCATGCAAGAGGCAGTCAAGCTCTGGACGGTTTGGCTCAGTGGTAGAGCATCAGCCTGTTGACCAGAGTCCTGGGTACGGTTCCCGCTAATGGCAAGTACCTTGGTTGCAGTTCATCCCCAGCCCCTGTTGGGGTCATGTGGGTGGCAACCAGTCAATGTGTAGCTCTCACATGGATGTTTCTCTCTCTCTCTTCCTCCCTCTCTCCCTCCTGCTCTATCTGAAGATAAATGCAAAAATGTCATCAAGTGCCCTGGCCAGTTTGGCTCAGCAGTTAGAGCATCGGCCTGCGGTCCGGAGAGACCCGGGTTGGGTTCCCGCTAAGGGCATGTACCTCGGTTGCAGTTTTTCCCCGGCCCTGGTTGGTCGTGTGGGTGGCAGCCACTTGATGTGTCCCTTTCACATCGATGTTTCTCTCTCTCTATCTCCCTCCTGCTCTATCTGAACAAAGAATAAAAAAGTGTCCTCGGGTGAGGATAAAAAAAAAAAAATGCCATCAAGTGAGGATAAAAAAATAAAATAAAATAAAAAGCTCAGTTTCAGCCCTGGCCGGGTAGCTCAGTTGGTAAAAGTGTCATCCTGATATGCCAAGATGGTGGGTTCAATCTCCATTCAGGGCACATACAATGAGTGCATAAACAATTTGATGTCTTTTTTTTCTCTCTCTCTCTAAAAAAAAAAAAATCAGTACATAATCAATAAATTCTGTGATTGCTGCATAGAGCTCAGAACTACATACAACATTTTTTTTCAGAAGTACTCAGTTTTAGCCCAGCCAGTGTGGCTCAGTGGTTGAGTGTAAACTCATGTACCAAGAGGGTTGCTGGCTTGATTCCTGGTCAGGGCACATGCCCAGGCTGTGGGCCAAATACCCAGTGGGGGGCATGCAGGAGGCAGCCAATTGACGTTCTTTCTCATCAATGTTTCTATCTCTCTCCCTCTCCTTTCCTCTATCTCTAAAATAAATAAAGAAAATATATTTTTTATAAAAAATACTCAGTTTCAAATTTAGGCACTTCTTTCCAATTTTATCAAGCAAACATCTGAGTGCCTTGGCACAGATATTAAAGCTTTAGGGCACTTTCCTGGACGTTTTACTTGTCATATACATTTTTTTTCACCTTCAAACTTACAAAAGCTTTATTATTTTGGGTCTCCACTGAAACCAGACTGCTGGAAGACTAATAATTTTCACATTCTTAAGACAGTTACAGGAAAGGTAGAAAATTAAACACCTCAAATTATTTTCTCCAAGCAATAGCCCTTAAACCTCAGCAGGGTGAAAAGCATAAACTTTTACCTTAAAAACAATCTACTGTATTATATGTAAAGTTTTGCAAAACTGATTTAAAAAGCCGCTACTTACAGAATCATGGGTGAGGTATGTATCGCAGTAGTCACAATAGAACCTGGAAAGAGATGGTAGAGAGAGAAAAAGAGATGAAAAAGTTAATAGAGGCTCATTCACCGAAGAGCTGTTCATTGAAGGTAAAAAATAAAATAAAAGACCTAGTAACGACTCGCGTCCTGACATAAACCAGGCTTTTTTGTTGCCCTACTCGGAGTCGATCTCCGCACTCTCACAGGGGTATCTAAAACCCCCAATCGCCCTCTCTTCCCCAGACCTTGTCGCTTCCCTAGAGGCTTTAAGAGCCAGAATCCGCTTTGCGATCCCCCACAGGGCCACAATTTGTGACAGTGACAGCGAACAGCCTCCAGAATTTAAGTTTCCACTCACTTGGGCATGTTGTCCTGCAGGCCGTTGGCCACTCCGTCCTGCCGGAAATGACGTAATCAACCAGCGCAGGCACCGCGGAATCGCGAGATCTCAAACGCGACTTCAGAAATCCTCCCGTCAGTGGTGAGTGGGGGGCGGGGCTTTTCCTTTCACCCCTCACCTACCGGAAAACAGGAGTACTAAGGGTCCCTACGAGGTTCAATTCATGCTCATTTATTTCATTTTGATTCCTGGCACTTCCGCGGGCGTGTTACTCATTCTCTCGACAAATATCTGACGTTTAATTGCTATGTGCCAGGCACTGCCATAAATGCCGAGAAGACAGCAGTGGAAAAAGCAAACAAAACCCTTGCTCTCATGGAGTTGACATTTGAGTTGGGGAAGACAGAATAATAGTTTATTAGTTTAGATGGATCCAAGTTCTATGTGGGGTGAAAAATGAATCAGGAAAGAGGGAGTTCAGTTTTAAATAACACAGTCAGAGTAAGCTTGCCGAGGAGGTGACAATTGAGTAATAATGGATTGCTTAAAGCAGTAAAGTAAGGGGCAAGCCGTTTTACACACGTCACTTTTTAGAGTCTCATTAACCCCAGGAGATAGTAGAATCCTCCGCTTCAAGTCCCATGTCGCTGCTTTCTAGCTGTGCTGCTTGCACAGTTTCCTCCTCTGAAAAATGAGGGTAATAATTCTTGTGGGGTTTAAAGAAGAATTAAATGTGACAATGCTCATAAAGTGTTTAGTGCAAAGTCTGTACATACAAACCCCTCCCCAAATGGTAGTTATCTTTACATAGGAAGAAACTGATAGAAGTAACTTGTCCACAGATACAACCTGTTCTAACAACAAAGCCAAATTTCCAGCCTGGTCTATCAGACTCCAAAGTGAAACTGAGGAGGAGGAGCTTTTGATTCTTCTGCTTCACATTCTCTGATGGTGGAATTGCAACCAAAATAATAATAATAATTGGTACTTTATTTGAAGGTTTACTATGCCCCAGGTGCATTGAATGCATTAATTTATTTAATCTACTCAGCAACTCTATAATTCACATTTCAGATGAGGAACCTGAGCTTTAACAAGATTAAAGCCTCCTGGTCCTAAAAGAAAAGTTAATTGCACAATGAAGTTATCAAGTTTTCACCACCCGCAATACTACATTGGTAAATCTTAGCATTAGTAATGAATGCTAAGAACAATCAGATCTCTCCTATTCGGATGACAACATTAAGGGGACACCATTGTTATTGTTTTTTTAATTGATTTCAGAGAGAGGAAGGGAGAGGGAGAGAGAGATAGAAACATCAATGATGAGGGAAACATCAATTGGCTGCCTCCTGCAAGCTTCCTACTGGGGAAGAGCCGGCAGCTAAGGCACATGCCCTGACTGGGTTTTGAACTGGGAAACTCCTGGTGCATAGGTTAATGTTCAACCCCTGAGCCACACCGGCCAGGCAAGTAGACACCATTAACTATGATGTATTCTTACCCAAAATGTTGAACTTGGATCTAATCAAGGTTATAGAATAAGCTGGAGGATCAAGCTAAAAGAAAGCAAAAGGCGGTAAGTAGGTTTAGAAGGTGGAAAATTTTATAGGACAACTGGCCTTTTTCCTTCACCAAGTCAAAAAAAAAAGGTGTCATTCTAGATGAAAATATTTTTAAATTGATTTGAGGGGGGGAGAAGGGAGATGGCGAGAGAAAGAGAGAGAGATCAATTTGTTGCCCTCCACCCCAGGATCAAACCTGAAACCTGGGCATGTGCCCTGACCAGTATCGAACTGCCAGCCTTTCAGTGAACCAGATGATTGCAGTTTGTCCCCATCCAGTTGGGGTTGTGTGGGTGGCAACCACTCCATGTGTCTCTCTCACATGGATGCTTCTCTTTCTCTCTCTCCCTCCCTCTCCCCCTCCTGCTCTATCTGAAGATAAATGCAAAAAAAAAAAAAATTTCATTAATTTTTAAAATATGTTTAATTGATTCTTTTTTTATTTTTTATCCTCACCCGAGGACATTTTTCCATTTTTTTGTTCAGATAGAGTGGAAGGGAGAGAGAGGGAGAGAGAGCGACAAACATCGATGTGAAAGGGACACATTGAGTGGCTGCCACCCTCACTACCCAACCAGGGCGGGGGACAAACTGCAACTGAGACACATGCCCTTAGCGGGAACCGAACCCGGGTCCCTCCAGACCACAGACCAATGCTCTAACCGCTGAGCAAACAGGTCAGGGCTGTTTCATCGATTCATTGATTCTTTAGAGAGAGAGGAAGGGGAGATTGAGAGAGAGAGAGAAGGAGAGAGAGAGAGAGAATGAGAGCCCCAACCGGGAATCAAACCAGCAACCTCTGGTTGCACGGTACCATGCTCAACCGAGTCACACCAGCTGGGTCATGGACATTAATATTTTTATATAACAGCCTCTACCAACTGTTTTTTACAGCTCATATCTTATCTATGGTTATTTTAATATAAAATTTCTTTCAATTACCCAGTGAAATTGCTTAACTTTATTCCTTCCTAAGAAAGATCTTCCATCATGACTCATGTTACATTTGTCATGTGGTTTGTCACATCCTTTTGTATATCCCTGTAGGATAGAGTTGTCAACCTAACACATGATGCCCAGTTACATTTGAATTTCAGATAAACAATTAATAATTTTTAGTAGAAGTATGTCTCATGCGTTTTTTTTTTTTCTGTATCTAGAAACTCTACTATAGGGCACTTATTTTTATTTTTTTAATAATTTTTTATTTTTCAATGTCAATATTTATAATATTGACATACAATATTATATTAGTTTAAGGTGTATAACCCATTGATTAGACATTATATATATATGTATATATATATATATATTTTTTTTATCCTCACCCGAGGACATTTTTCCATTTTTTGTTCAGGTAGAGTAGGAGGGAGAGAGAGGAACAGAGAGAGAGAGAAACATCGATGTGAAGGGACACATCGAGTGGCTGCCACCCGCACGACCAACCAGGGCCGGGGACAAACTGCAACCGAAGTACGTGCCCTTAGCGGGAACCGAACCCGGGTCTCTCCAGACCGCAGGCCGACGCTCTAACCGCTGAGCCAAACCGGCCAGGGCTGATTAGACATTGTAAAATGTATTAAGTGATCATCCTGAAAAATCTCGTACACATCTGACACCATATATAGTTATTAGAATATTATTGACTGTATTTCCTATGCTGTACTTTACACCCCCATGACTACACTATAACTACTGATTTGTACTTCTAAATCCCTTCACATTTTTCACCCACCCACACCCCAAACCCCTCCCATCTGGATACCATCAAAATGTTCTCTGTATCTATGAGTCTGTTTCTGTTCTGCTTATTTATTTTGATTTTTAGATTCAATTATTGATAGGTATATATTATTGCCATTTTGTTGTTCATATTTTTTATCTTTTTTTTCTTCTTCTTAAAGAAGACCCATGAACATTTCATGTAATACTGGTTTGGTGGTGATGAACTCCTTCAGCTTTTTCTTGTTTGGAAAGCTCTTTATCTGACTTTCAACTCTAAATGATAGCTTTGCTTTCATTTAGAGGTCTTTGCTTTTTTTTTTTTTTTTTTTTTTTTTAATCTTCACCTGAGGACATTTTTTTTTTTTTTGCATTTATCTTCGGATAGAGTGGGAGGGAGAGAAGGGGGAAGAGAGAGAGAGAAACATCGATGTGGGAGAGACACATCGACTGGTCGCCATCCTCACTACCCCAACCAGGGCCAGGGACAAACTGCAACTGAGGTACGTGCCCTTAGCAACAACTGAACCTGAGACTCTCTGGTCCACAGGCCGACACTCTAACTGCTGAGCCAAACCAGCCAGGGCTAGAGATCTTTGCTTCTCATCACTTTGAATATTTCTTGCCATTCCCTTCTGGCCTGCAAAGTTTCTGTTGAGAAATCAGCTGACAGTCTTATGGGTGTTCCCTTGTAGGTAACTAACTGCTTTTCTCTTGCTGCTTTTAAGATTCTCTCTTTTTCTTTAACCTTTGGCCTATATTTGAATCTCATAGCTATTGCTTTGACCTTGGGGAAGTTGCTTAATCTCTTTGTATTACAGCTCCCCCATCTATAAAATAGGGACAATAATAGTACCTACTTCATAAGGTTGTGGCTGTGAGGACTGAATAGATATTTTTCATAGAGCACTTAGCACAAAGTAAGCACACAGAAATTGGTGGATTATATTGGCACCATCAATAATAAGAATTGGGACTAAAAACCCAGGCCTCTTGAATTACACATCCAGGAATCCTTCTAGGCCTTTTCATGGCCACATAAAAGATGAGGTGTGGAACTCAGAGGCATTTTCCTTCGCTCTTCCAATAAAACACTTTAGCCTCACTTTGCAGACACTATTGGCTACTGCCTCTTCTATCCATTAGACACCCTTCAGAATCTACAGTTCTTAGTTTCAGTTCAGACCACAGGGCCTTGAAATGTTGGGGAGAGGCTGAATCCCAGAGGTACACTTGCCTCTGCACTCCCAGCTGTACTTCCACCTTGGAGAGGACTTATCTTTTAATAGATGCCTCACTGGGGAGGGTCAGAACATTGTGTCTTATCCCCTAACTTTTCTTTTTGAACTGAGACCTCACTGCCATGAAGGAGACTGAGAAGGCTAAAGCTTGATCTTTGTATTTAGAAAACAACAGCAGAATTAAGACCAGTTGTAGCAGTTTTAGAAGCTGACATCCCTCCCAGGTAGGTGTGAACATAGCTATGGCTGGGGACTCATGACTGTTGCTGGCAGGGACTCATGACTGTTGCTGGCAAGAGGAATGGGAGTCCTTCTGAGGACTTCACCAGTCTCCATCCTGCTCTATCCTGCAAGTGAAATGAGAAGTGACCTAGCTGCTGCTTTCCAAGGCCAGTGCCTGGAGACAAGGCTTTTGACACCTAGCCTAAGCAAGTGAGAACATACCCTGGCCAGTTTGACTCAGCGTTTGGAGCGTTGGCCTGCGGTCCAGAGAGACCCGGGTTCAGTTTCCACAAAGCAAGTGAGAACAAT